CTTAACAGAAATCATTGGGAAGTCTATGTGTCCAAGGCTTTCAAGGATGAGACCCTTAGATTTTAAAGTCTTGGCTGTCTTCTGGCAGATACTGAATAGAGCTGAATGCAGCCTGGTTACTTTTACAGCCAGCAGATAAGCCCATACCTATTCTCCCTTCATCTCTTTCCACGTGGTTGTACAGGACCAGGTTTTCTGCTGATTGTGTCTGCTTTTAATTGTTTTGCATTATCAAAGTGATTTCTAGGAGCGAGCTCATACTTTGATAATACAATTGGAATTGTAAAAAAGCTTAAAATGTTGTGCTTTGATAATATTTTTAAACTGATGACTAACACTGATTCTTCCTTTTTTTCTTCTTTAATTCAGTCATCTGTTGTAGTCTAGATTTGTTACACAGGAAGGATATAAGACTCATATATGTTATCAAAAGACCAAAAAATAACCATATTTTCTGACAATGTACTCTCAATTGCTTCTCATGTTTTGTACTGTTTATGCCAGTCACAGTGCAGAAGACATATACACCTTTTTCCTTCAAAGATGAAAATATTACAGCCGTAGTATTCCTTGAAGAATTTGTGAAATTGAAGGGATGAAATAGCAATCTGGACAACAATTGATGGATTTGTTTTGAATGGTTCTGGAATGTGTTCTGGATATCTAATTACCTAATGCTAGTGAAGAAAATATTTGAGACGTTAAAGATTCACCAATCTGCACCTTTAGTTCCCCATTCACATAAATATATATGGTAATTTTAAATTGTGATAATTGTCTACAAACATAAAGCTTAGTTGTCTGTGAGGTTGTTTTCTAAGACCCAAAAAAAGTCTAAAAATTTTGACACAAACTTGCACAAGCCTAGGTAAGTCAGTTGGGTTTTTGTGGGACTAAATACATTTAGGTGCTTCCCTTTAAAAACTGAGTAGTACTAAATTGGTAATATGTAGTTCTGTAGGAAGTTTCATTTTCTTCTTCAACACATGTTACCTCACATAGGAAAACTTCCATTTTAGGAAGGAAAATATCTAACTTGCTCATATTTCTAAGAACAGAATGACAATGTATCTATGGCATATATTTTCTAATGGGCAACTAACTACTTAAAGTTCCCTATGACTTCTCCTAAGGTCTTTAAAACACTTAATCATTGTGGCTTCCTTGAATGTTTGTTCAAATTGTCTAATTTCTGCTCTCTCTAACTCACTCTTCGAAGTATGAAACAGTAGACAGGAAGACCAACTAAGACTTCCAGATGTAGACTTGTTTCTCCTAGCGACTCCATGTGAAGTCCCATAAGACTCCTTGACTTCTCTGTACTATGACCCTGGGTATTCACAAGACTTATGTTGGCTTTTAGGTCTTGGCATTTCAGACTGTTTATCTTAGCTCTAGAAACTCCAGACTGCAGACATCTTCAAAATCAAAATAGGTCATCTTTGAGTAGTTTATCCATTGAGATAATTAGCCTTTCCATAAGAAGTAAAATGTGCCTTCAGAAGAAACAGTGTTGTTCTTTTAGCAGTTTTATTTAGATAGAAGACAAAATCTTACAATGTCTTTTAAAACTCTATAAAAGCTTATATAAATCTAAATTTGACTAAAAGGAGTATTATTATGCACTTAAATATATCTTTTATATAATGAATCAACTCATACCTGTTTAAATTATATTGTATTTTCTTACTGAATACAAGTCTTCTGATTTTGATACAAAATAGGAATATGAGTATTTTGAAGCAGGTCTCTTTTCTTGTAATGAAAATGAAAATAAGTAGGTCTTTACACAACTTTGTGGAAAATACTAACAAAATGATTCATTAAGCTATTTTTATCATCCTGTTTATGACAGTTAAGCTAATTTGCTGTGCTTTTGATGTTTTTTAAAGAGTTTATCATATAGCTATAAAAATGATAATGAACTACAAAACAACATGAAAGTTTTCAATTTGAATCAAAGTTATTATTTTTTAAAGTATTTTTTTCATGACATTTCCCCCACAACTTTGGTAATAATTCCTACAAAATTCTTGCAATTCTTCTAGTTTGAAAAAAATCTTATAAAAGGGTAATATTTCAGGTTAGTAATTTGCTTAATGAAACAAGTACATAATATAAATAACAAATTAAGTAAAGAATTGTTACTAAGTCAGTTATTGAGGATAATTAGATTTATTCATTTTAATTGTGTATTTCACAGTCTACCGTGACTCTAAATCAGATCTTCCAGGCCTTAAGAAATGATTCTTAATTTGTCTTACTGTATTTTTCTGCCTTGTCATAAGGAACAAACTTTTCTTTGGTTTATAGTAGACTGAAGTGAGTGTCACTTAGAATCACAGAATCGTAGAATTCTTAAAAATTATATCAGGATAAAGGAGGTTTGCTTCTCAGAAATTTCAATTAAATAGAATTATAGAATATCCTGAGTTGGAAGGGACCCACAGGGGTCATCGAGTCCAGCTCCTGGCCCTGCATTGATAAGGAACAAACTTTTCTTTGGTTTATAGTAGACTGAAGTGAGTGTCACTTAGAATCACAGAATCGTAGAATTCTTAAAAATTATATCAGGATAAAGGAGGTTTGCTTCTCAGAAATTTCAATTAAATAGAATTATAGAATATCCTGAGTTGGAAGGGACCCACAGGGGTCATCGAGTCCAGCTCCTGGCCCTGCATTGATCAGCCCCAAAAATCATGTCATTGAGAGTTTTGTTTTGTGCAAACACTTCTTGAACTCTGTCAGGCTTGGTGCTGTCACCACTTCCGGGAGCCTGTTCCAGTGCCCAACCATCTACTGGTTAAAATATTGTTCATAGGATTGGAATTGGGAGTTCAGGACTTTATGAGGTCACTTACTTGGTAAAGTTTGGGATAAATTAGCAGGTAGAGTTGGGTTACTGGCCTTATTTATGGCCTTTGGTCCATGACTGTCTTCTGTTAGGCTTTGAAGAGGGTTGGTTTTATTCCTCAAAATTAAAAGACAGAAGCATTCAAGCTTCACTATGGCTACACTTGGCAGTAAGCATCAAAGAGAGTCTTTGCAGTTGTGAACTTGTTTGTTTTAAAGACCTGGAAGCCGTTGGTACTTTGTGCATTATGCCAGGACACCCTGCTTGTGTTTTGTTACGCTGTCGTCGGACCCTTCAATACTCATATCACAGCAGTGATTTGAGAACAGTACATCATCATAGGTACTTAAATTAAACATTAAACTTTTCTTATGTCATGGCAGTGGGGTTTTTTTTGTGAGTGAATATATTAGAAACACTCCATTTAAATCAGGTCATTTTTGTCTATAATTTCTTTTCAGTTTTATGTGTATTCATGGTATGTTTATTTTTATTGTAAATCACAAAGAAAATTTCAAAGAAAAATGGAAGACACTTAATTTGGTTTTGTGAGCTGGAATAAGATACTCTTCTTTTTCTACAACTGTTTTTCTTCTAGCTTTGAACATACAACAATTTTGTTTGTATTAAAGAAGATCAAAAATCCCAACCCAATCAAAGAAATTACCAAGCTTATAATTTTAATAATGACCTCAGATCAGGACATTAAGTTGGGAATTAATGATCAGTTAAGGTTAATGACTCAATGCCATGAGTCATTAAACTTCAAGAAAATGCTCTGTACTTTGATTGTTTTTGGTTTATTAAAGTTTGGTTGCAGAAGGTGCAAAGAAAAACGGTGTTTCCAAACACAAGGGGAACAAATATGAACAGAAAACAGAGGTATTGTTATCTGCCTCTTTCTGCAGTCCCAGCACAGCTACAAATGCCATTATCCTTGATTAGAGTTTTGTTAGTATGAGGACCAAAGCAGCAAAACCTTTCATAAGCATCTTTCTTTTCTTTCTTGTTTTGAAACAAATGAAGAACCTCAAAGGTTTGGCAGAGCACAGGTTAACACTTCGTTCTGTGAAGTTATTCCACATTGTTCCCTAAATAAGCAGTTATAGGATATTGCAGTAGTACTACACTATGATCTGTACATAAGAATACAAGCCTTTGGATATGCATTGTATGTAGCAGGTACATATTTGCATATAAGTGGGTAATAAGTATTTTTATTGTAATCCATATCTAATTTGTATGCTACTTATGCAGTCCAGGAGATGGAAAGTTGTGTTTATGAGTGTTTAACAGATAAGGAGTGCTTAAACCTGAAGCCCTCTATTTTTCCATACTGGACAGATGTAAGCTGCTACGATGGCATTTGCTCAACAATGTCTTAAAAAGAATTCTGAGTCCTTTCTGACATAAAGTAGTTTATTTAAAGTAAGGTGTCTTAGTGAGATTTTCACTTTAAATAGAATAAGGGTTAAATGATAACTTGACTTATCTTTTAAATGACAAAAAATAAAGAAATTGCAAGACCTTTTCACACATTAGATATGTATTGTCATTTATCATCTAGATATCAGGCTAGCAGTGCGAAGTAATAAAACATATCATCCAAAAATGTGCTATAGGTCTGAATCACTCTTTCATTCCACCTCCCAGCTAACTGTAGTATTAAATCAAACAAGCAGAACATTTCCTTAGGCAGCCATTGCCTTTTAATTTCCTGAAGAACCTTAAAATATCATTCATTACAAGTACTACACATATTTGGTTTTTAAAAGTCTCATAAATCAATAGCAGGCTGACTGTAATAATTATTACAAGTTAGTGCATAATTTTCGTGCTGAAGGCTGCATGCAGAACTTTAGCATATGCAAACGAGGCAATTCAAACTGTGTATAGATATTAATATGAAGAAGCAGGTAACGAGGTGCAGGCTATGAATTATGCATCAAGAGCGGCTGATCTTCAATGAGGAAAATGAATTCAGCATGTAATCTAATTAGTGATGGAAGTCTATTACATCTAACTGCAAAAGCAACCGTCCTTGAAACAAATTTATTTACAGTCCATGTTACCACTTGAAACAACTTTGAAATGATATGTAAGACAACAGCTTAATTGTAAAAATTTTTTTGTTTGTTTGTTTCAGTTCTAGACCTGGAAGGCCTCCTAAGAGGACTCAAAGTGTCACCTCCCCAGAGAATTCTCATATTATGCCACATTCTGTCCCAGGCCTAATGTCTCCTGGAATCATCCCGCCAACAGGTAGGATCTCTAGAAACACCTTCACATGGGCAATTGTTTGAATTCATGGCTTATATCCATTTGTTAATAAATCAACACTCTAGGAAACCTGCACCCAAATACCACAGAGGATTTCCCCTAATTTAACATTATTGCTACATAAGCGTATTGTATGTAATGGAAACTGTGGCAGCTCCGTGCTTTAAAATACAAATAACCGAAGAAATAATAATCCTTCATAATTTTCCCCTATTCTTTTTCTTTATAAACAAAAACCTTTCAAGGCATGAACTACCTATCATTAGACAATAATCTCCCTATTCATTTTTAATAGATCAGATATCTTCTGATTTTTTTGCTGCTTTGCTTCATTAGATAATGTCATCATGAATATAGTTGCCTGAAGAAACCAAGTTAGTTAAAATAACTCCATGCTGCACACATGTCTTTCTTAATTTTTCATCCTGAAATTCTATTTTTGATATGTCTCCTGAGGCCTTACACTAATGTAAAGTCCTCTAACAATCTGTTTTTCAAACTACTCTTTTCTTTTGAAAGTTACTGTAACATCTCCTAGCAGTGACTTGCTCTTAGACATAGTTAAACTAAGAAAAGCTGTGTTGCAGGGAGGATATAAACACAGTTACCTGAAGATGGAGGCGCCCAACAGTCAAGCTGTTGGTGGTGGTGCCACATTGCGTCTCTTCATGTTACAGATGAGTTACACTCTGGCATTTGCTTCAACAAAGTTAACCTGAGCTTTCGCTTCCCCAGTTGTTTCCAGCTTATTTGCATGGCTCAGTACCTAGCAGTGATTTTCTCAAAGGCAAAGGAAAGATAATAAACTAGACAGATCCAAACAGAGAGGAAGATTACTTGATCTTGAGGACTAGGTGGGTGGACGTTTGAGTACATGCCTGGTTAAGTATGAGCATGATCCTTGCCATGGTTTTGGTTGTAGACGACTAACATTCTCCCAAAAATGCTCAGTTCAGGAAACACCACATATCAGAAGCTGTTGTCAGTTTGGATGTGTCATGTCTGGAGGAAGGAGGAAATTGAAGAAAGTTCAGCTTAGTGGACAGAAGTGGGTCTGTGCCTCTTGGCCTTAGGCTCCAGAGCTGCTTTACATGCTGAGATAGACATGTAGCCAGAAATATTGTATTCAAAATTTACAGTTTGTTAAAAGACTAAATATCAGGAGGAGTGACATAATGAAGAGAAGTCAGGCAACAAAGACTGGTAGGCGAGAGGTGTAAAGTAAGGAGAGGGAAGGAAGCATGAGACTAAGAATGTAGGGAACCATGGAAAAGTGTCAGGCAAGTAGGACTCACAGTGATAGTCCGGGCAGGTGTGACCAGCAAAAAAAAACAGAATCAGGATTAAAATATTTTACAAAATAGAATTGATAGGATAAAATTTCTTACAGGAAATAGAGGGGATACAGAGTGAATGGAACGTGGGAATAATAGATGGGATCTGTATGGGGACAGAATGAAAGTTTTTTATAGAGCAGAAACATTCATGTTTATGAGAGAGAGAGATCAAAAATTGCAGAAGCAAAGAGAAATTATTTGGTAGAAGTAAGGCAGGAAAATATCAAAGAAAAACATGCATGTGAAAAGTAGAAAGGAGATGAAAGAAGTCAGAGACAAATAAGCAGGCCAAAAAATGGGAGACAGGAAAAGAAACCTTGTCAACAGTATCGTTTGGGGTTTTGTGTTACAGTTAATATCTAGGAGCAGTTTGCCTCTTGATTTTCTATTCTAAGAAAGCAGTTTAAAACCACAACTAATGCCTAAAGTATCCAATTCCTCTCTAGTCCTTTAAAGCTGGTCATAACAAGTTAACACTAAAAATATATGGTACTAAAAACACAGATCCAGTTTCTTAGAGTATCAGCCCACAAAATCAGATGCAGATCTTTTTTTAAATGATGATTAAAAAATTGAAGAAAATAATTCAAAATTAAAGAAAATAGGCATACATAAGATTGTCATTCATCAAATCTTTTTAGGATGGTAATGCTTTGTGAACCTCTTGCAAAGGAAAAAGGTTTAAAAGCAATCGCTATTAAGTTTGAACTGGTTCCACATTACATGGCTTACCACAGCAGAAGGGGTGGTATGATTTTTTCCCATTGTGATAGTGTTGAGTCTCAAACAGCACAAAAAATGCAAGCACTAGCACTGATAGAAGTAAGCTCTAGGATCTAGTGTTCCATGGGGTATGCACAGGTTCAGCAAAGATAAGGAACATCATGACAACAGCATGACATGACAATCATTCCAGCATTATAGACAGGCAAGCATAAGATTAGACTTACAGTCTCATCTTACGAGTTTGAAACAATAAACATTTCTGCATCTACATTGAATTTCCTGTTTTTCAATTTGTGTTAGTTGGTCAAACTGAGAAGAGTCTGGCTCCATCTTTGCTCTGTCCTCATCGGGTTCTATATGCATTAGTAAGATCCCTGCAGTCTTTTCCAGGCTGAACAGTCCCAGCTCTCCCAGCCTCTCTTGATATGTCGGATGTTCCAATTCATTAATCATCTTTGTGACCCTCAAGATGATTCTTTGTTTGAGAAGTTTGTGAAGTTTAAATTTCCTGTTAGGATTCAGCTCTAAGCAGAAAAAAAAAAAGGTGCCAGATTGTTAAGTGCTTCCGCCCCCTTCTCTCTCTTTTTTTTTTTTTTCTAACAACTTTTTAAGATTTCTGATTGATTTAATAATCTGAGTATAATAACTAAGTTTCCCTCCTGCCTACAAAAAAGTATAAGTGATCACACAAACAATTATGTGCTATTTAATGCTCTTTAAGTAACAGAGATCTGCAATTATTAGGTATATCTAGGATACACAACGCTATGATTTAATGCATGATTTTTACCTGAAAATTTTCCTTTTTCTGAAATGTGCTTCATAATACAGAAATATACATTTAAAGGTGGAATTCTTGGTTTCTAAAGGGACTGGTGCATGCATCGTTTATGTGTGCAAATAATATTGGTATAAAACTGTTTGGTGAGATTTCTGATGTATTTCAGGATTGTGTTAGGATTGTAGGAGGATAAGTTTGAGGAACCCTTGAAAATGTATTGTATCACTGATCCAGTCTGAAAACACATGCAGAGAATATTGCATCATCACTTAGAATGGACTCACTTTAGAGAAGTACTTTTGGGCTAGGAGAAGTATTGAGGGACTAACCTGAGATTTAGGGATGATATACAGAAAGAAAATAAAAGAGAAAAAGGTATAATATTCCAATTTTTTTTTTTAGGGTGCATAAATTGGAGAAGTGAGAATCACCTCTCAGGTGATATTCTGCCCATTTTATTACAAGATTCATAAATGTTGCCCACAGTTGCAGATCTATCCACTCTCTTTCATTTAGGTGCATTTACAGATTGTTCCAAACCTTATAGAAGACTGGTCAGCTCAGAAAAGATAGTCTTATGTTTATTAAAATAAATGTGGGAACTTTGAAGATGTGACAGAATGAAGAACATGTAATTACAGGAAGTGAAGAGCTTTGTGAATTGTCCAGAGAATTAAAATCTGCCTATGTTACAAATGATGTAGTCAGAAGAAAGAATTGGGTGTAGGTTCAGACAGGTGTACTGACTTTTCAGGCTTATCTAGATCACACCTTGAAACCCTTCCAAAACTAGATGGCTTGTCACAGTTAACTTTGATCTGCATAACTCTGTGTACTGCAGACTAAAGTCGAAACAGTAGATAATTGTAATTATTTGTGATTAATTGAAAAAGCAGTGCTGTAATTCTTGAGTGTGTGATATATATTGTGTTCTGTATTTTAATGTCTACAGTAGGCATATAACATACAAAATCATATTTCCATTTTTTCATACAAACTTTGAAAAGCAATTGTCTTAAATTTAATTTTTTTTTGCAATTATTCTTCAGTATTTTAGGTTTTAAAGCCAGTTTTAAAGTTCCTGACTTAATTCTTCTGCAGCTTGGCCTACTGAGTCTGTAATCTACAAAATTAGTAGTAACTACAATCTCTTGTACTTATTTCAGGATCTGCATCTTCCTCTGGAAGACAAAATGAGAATATAAGGTGCTTTTGAAATCACTGTCATAGGGCATGATAAGAATGCTCCTTCATATATCGATATATATCTATAGGTATAGATATATCTTTGTCAATTAAAAGAAGTCTTTTCAAAGCACCTTACATGTTGAATTTATTATGTTGCTTTTGCATTAAATTAATCTCAGTAGTTGGTGGTGTTGTTATTATTATTTTGGGCAGGTTTGATTTATGACAGGTACTTCTGTCCACATATTCCACATCTAATACCAGACTCTTCTTTTCCAGTATAAGGATATTAAGCTTCCTCTAAAATGTTTCACATGCATGAATTATAACTACTCTCCTGTATTCAACTCCTGTTCTTTCTCTTCTTAAGTAGTAATCTGAAGATGTAATTTCTAATCTCATCCCTATTTTTTCTCTGGCTGTTTACCTGAATCAAAAAGTATATTCCAACTTCCATCCTGTACAGAATCCTCTGAGCCACAAAGGAGTTTTATGGGGAGTTAGAGTAAGGAGAGAGTTGAAAGCTTTTGTATAGATTATTTCAGTTTGGAGGACTAATGTAGTTCACAGATGCAGCTATTGATGAAGTGTGGTACTGTTTTTCCTAAAGTAGAAGATGGAACTATTTGGTGTTTAAAGAATAATCACATAATTAAATAATTTCATTTTCTCTGGCTCACAGTTATTGATGTTACATTAGGCAGACTGAAAAAATGGCTAAAATATAATTATCATTGTTATTATATCCACATCATGTTGCCAAGAAACAAAATCTGTAGCTAGAAGTGTTTTCTCCTGATAGATTTAATCCTGTATACATCGTAAAGAATGTATTTAACTTAGTGAAATGAATAGAGTTGATTTCTTTGAGTATTCCATGGGCTAGAAATTATAAGTTGATGTTACGTACTTAGCAATTTTGAGAAGCAAGCCTATTATTCAGTTATTTA